GTTATAAGTAACAAAAAACATTACCAATATCAATTGTAGAAAAAAGTCATTTCTTAGCTTGTGGGAAGAAACTATGTAAGTTTAAACCTAAAAAATATTTATAAGAAAATTATTTACATGAAATGTATCATAAAACCAGGCTCGTACACAGAATGTTTGAAAGGGGGGCTTCTAATTTGTGAGATCAAAAGTCAACACATATTGGGCAAAGCATAATGCATGTTGATGCTACGGGGGTCTGGGGGCATGCGACTATTTCAAGCCAGAAAATGCTAATGCTTCATTAGAAGAATGTAGACTATGTAGAAAACGTTAAATAACATAAGTAGCTACGCTATAACTATATAAGAATATTTTTTTTTTTACATCACAAAGAATAGGGGTTCGACCGAACCCTCCCCACTTGCGTAAAACTAAGAGGCATTTTTTCGTATTTTCATTTATGGCAAAGCTACTAAGTCTGCCAGTTATTTTGAATCAATGACCAATAAGAAGGCAGCCAGACAGGAACACAATTACACCCATTATCATCCATGCTAAGGAACTGATTGACACCTTTATAACGCATACACATCTTAAATTGTGGGGAAATATTTTTTTGGTATCGCGCAGATTCGAATTCGCTTTGTCAATTCCGAAATCCAGAGCTGTACCATAGGGCCAACCCTCGAAACTAAAAGGATATTAAATACTCGTTTATTTTTGTTTGATTATAAAACACATGATATATATATATATGCATAATTATGTCTTGATTGATACGGAAAACCTATTATCTTATTATTTTTGCAATGAGTAGTTTTTTCCTTAATTTTGTCCATCACCTCATGTCCGGTTAAATGTTCTCGTAACATATTGTTCAATAAGGAGATCATTAAACTGTAAGTTTCACATAATATACTAAAGATGAAAAATATAGCAAAATATCATATACGTATATGCAGATACAATAGAAAAAAGGGGGAAATAAGCGAGGGAATGGTTAAGGATAAGTAACCAGAACTGACCAATGAAAATGTTTTAATCGATAGGAGCTGGAATTGTTATTATTTTCAACCTCAATATGTTACATATAACTTACAAATTAACTGTTTCCACAGAAAACCGCTGAAAACGGATTATGTATAATTCGAAACACCCGAAATAAAATGTTCTATTTACACTCTCTTCTTGATCTTCTTTTTGAGATTACGAATCACCTATGAATCAATCCATTGATAGTATTCAATATTTCAATGAAAGAAAAACTATGTTAAAGATTTCTTTTCTTTTTCACCAGAGGTGAAATTGAAAAGAGAATCTGTGACGTAGAGGCCTAATGCATTATTCGATTGGCTGTACCCTCTACTGTACACTGCAGTGTCGCCTATTCAAGGCTCATCAGCATAGCTTGGGGCAGCAAACCATAGAAATACCGTTAGGCCTATTATAATGGTGAAGTGTATATCAAACGGACTCAAAACCTCATAAGAATAGAAACTAGTAGAACGGTGCAAACATATCTGTTAAAGAAATAATAATTGTTTTTTTTAACTTTAATATTTTTCTTATGTTCGATATCAAATATCGCTAAAAATACTCCAGTCTAAATTTCGTTGTCATAATTAATTATATTACACCCATCATTGCGCAACTTTCTTCACATGTTATATAACTGTCTTAATTATTAGATATAAAATCCCTTTCTACAACGAGAAACTTAAAAGTGAAACAAAATAACCTTTATTGTATCTCTTTTCAAACCCTCAAATAGTTTTAACTTTTAATTTATATTTTCCTACTTCTGCAAAATGACTTTAAACAATTCGATAAAAAAAGGCATTTGGAGACGTCCCAGATATACAGAAAATTTATTTTTAAGTAATAAAAGCACAATACCAAGCACAATAGAAAGGTGTTAAAAGTCACATAGGTAAGAAGCCTAGCAGGTAAGTGATAAGGAAGTTTGAATAACTTAATGATATAGCAGTAGGTTGAGTATTAAAATATAATCTTTTCTCCAAATCAAGAAATAAAAACTGTAAGTTGTTACTACAAAAAATTCAAGTACAATGATAGAAACAAATCATTATTGAGACTAAGATTTCATATATTCGGCACTGGTATTCTGAAGAAACAAAATACTCTTCATTTAAACAAGGGGTAACGAGAACCACTATATCTATCAATATATATATACAAAGAGATAATCACACTTTATAAGAACGATTTGCTTACGGTAATTAAGTGGCTTGACGTAACGGGCGATGTGTTTAGCAGATATATATATATATATACATTTGGTTGGCGGTGACTTGGAGTTCACGACCTTTCGGCAGATAAATGCTGCAAGGAATATTGTCATAGAGAAATTGTTATACGATCTAGGGCTAAAGGTCACAACATTTCGAAGAAGGAATTCTTCAGTGTTTTCCATGACATAGGGAAGGGATAAACAAAATTGGCACATCAAAGGTTTAGGACAGAAAGGTCTTCGAGGTTTATGTCACTAATTAGGAGTAACGCTCTCATCTGTAAAGTTTATAGTTACGATCGAAGAAAACACGAGAACATTTCGACACAAAAAAATGATTTTTTCCATAAAAACTGAGAATACATCCTGTATTGCTAACAGCACTACAAACGGAAACTTGATGAAGGCTCACCATGAACAAGCTTCCAGCCATGGAAAAGATGACAAAATAAAACTTTCCTGATGGACTCTTCTACATTTTGTGCTTAAATTTTACAATGGGAGCCGACTTCCATGTACTCTAAGACTAACGACGCCATATTTCATAGAAACTTGTTACAATGGAAATTAATTGTTCATCAGGCTGAACACGATCAATTGTAGACGAAGCAATTCCAAGAAATCAACAGAACCTGAACGTCGTTTATATGAAATACGACTAATCATTAAACGATAAAGATTCTCTTTTCAGATTAACTCAGTTTTATTAGTTATAGGATTTTTTGTCTATTTTGTTTACGTAAAAGGCCAGAAATAGAAGATTAACACTCACATCTTAACTGTTTATCCTTAACCCTAGATCTCCACAATGGCAGTCTAAAATAAGGAAGTAAAAGAAACTTCTCTAAAGTTAACATTTTCCTCAAACAACAACAAAATTTAGTGAACTACGATAATGTATGTGGATTGATAAAATAAAAACTTATCAAATATGATATCTATCTCGACATATAAAAACATTACACTAATAGAAAATGAAGAAATATCCAGTCGTTTTTAAAATCTATTGAACTTACATTTCTTATAAGATGAAATGTCCATAATAAATCAGGAATATTTTATGAAAAAAAAAGTCATTCTATATTATATCCTACCTTTCACTAAAGAAATATTAGCAATTTTGTGGTAGTTCAACATTTCATAAAGAGTGAGACAAAGGTTATACATATTTATTGTAGTTGTTCTGGTTAGCTTGGACTTCAACAGAGAAATATATTTAATTCTTGTGAAAGTTTTTTTTATCCGAGCAAACATTATTTTAATCACTGTCAAATTAATTATATCATTTTTTTAGTGGATCTATGATATTATGCAAAACTAAGAAAGGAAGTTGATTTGTTATTCATGCTAAATTATGCATTAAGTAAAGAAGATTATATGCTGAGTATAAGACAACTAACATATATAGGGCATTACCTATTAAGAAGATTACATCGGTATCCGATAAGAATAGGAGATTATCTGTTAGGTTTACTAAAGACAAGTATTAGTTCAGAATAGAAGGTTGTTTGCACGTTAGTTGCATATTCATCAGCACATATTCCTGAGAAACCAGTTATATTAAACTAATTTTCTTTCGTACAGGTATCGTAATCACAATTGGTTTCTTTACAACGTACTCCATCGATCGCTATCAAATACAATAAAACCTTAAATGGCCTATTATCTTGCTTCAACGACTCCAAGACGATAAGAGGGGTTTGTGGAAAAATGACTTCCTGTCGAGAACTCTTTCTTAATACAATTCATTAAACAGCTAGGTCAATCAACTACGCATGCGTATATCAAGTGATACACTGAAAATATGTTCTGTCTTTTTTATTAGAATATGTGGGCTGTAAATCGTTTAATGTTAACAAAAGATTCAGAGATAAATTTCACGGGATGAATAGAAAGTTAAATTCTCAGAACGATTATAAGGTTAATTTCACAAAATGATCAGACGGTTACTTGCATGGAATGGTCACAGGGCTAATTTAACGAAATGGCGAGAAGGATGATGTTGGAGTTATAGAGAACTATATATATATATGATAATTTCCTTTTTTTCTGACATTCAGAACTCTCCGTCGTCAAATGTATCTAATAAAACAGAAATTTTAATATAAGATGGAAGTATTCCTCACAACAACACGTTCGATTCAGTTCGTTCGATTGTAAAAGAGGCACTTTCACGTGAAAAAACTGATAACCCATGTTGAATAAGCTCGAATCTACATAGACAACAAATGCATAGTTTGTTAGCTATAAATATCAATATTTATAAATCATCCCCACCTTCTACAAAATGCATAAATATGCACTCCACTGTTATATTATGATAAATATTCATAATGTTGATATTAATAACAAAAAATACAAAATATGTACATAAAATTAGCTGTTTGTTAAGAAACGTTCTAACTTACCAGAATAGTGAACTGAAGCTAATATTATTTACAGCTAAGGTATTTGTATTTTACTCATCCTGTAATTTCAATCTCTCTTATTTCATCGGCATACTCTGTTTTATCTATTTCTGTGCTCCAAGTCTTTCTTTCTGGTTCTACCTATTCAATTTTTGCCTGTCTCTCCAAGCAAGGAACGCTCGTCTACAGGTAACTGAGAATTCAGGGACCGCAAAGAACGTAGATCGGCTATTGGATGCACGTGATGTTCGTTGTTGTTGTAACCTTCCGCAGTGAGTTTGGATGACGGTTATACTGGCAGGTCGAGCGCAGAACACTCCGCGGTGTCGACACGGCGAGTTGAGAGCGTGCTCACATACCGTGATAAAAGCAACTACCTGTTGCACGAGTGTTGTTTAGTTGTTAAAATCAAGGAACTTCTACAAAAGACACCGCGTAGAACGTAAAATTAATGCGTGGGTAAAATATTTCGTGTTTAGTTGTAAGATTCCTAGTAAAACAAAAGCTTCATAAATGCACATAAGTCGTTAGAACTGTAACGACAAGGTTTTAATGCTTAAATAGTTATTTTCACAGAATTCACTCGGCTTAATCTAACTATAAAACATATTAAATTCTGTGTATAATAGAACGTTTTTTTACGATGGCAAGATATGGGTCTGTGATTGATCCAATGCTTCATTTGGGTGCCGCAGAGGGAATGCTAAAAAGTCGCCCATCAGCTACAAGTAGCTCCACAGACTGCGGTATAAGTCCTGTCACACCCGCGACAACTAGGTTGGCTGTCGGACACTGCTACAGTTCCAAAGCCTGCGATGACGGGGTTCCTATCTGGACCTCGTCTTTCGGGTCTACTCTTCCATTACCATTCTGCGGACTCAAAGGTTTGACTGAGGACGGTTTCAACGTAGGAAGAAGAAGACTTATTCAAGAAACTACAAGTAGCATCTCGTCCATTGACGGTTCTATAGGGGTTGAAGTTAACGGCACTTGCGAGTCTAACTCTTCGCTAGCAACCACTACACGAGATGGTAGTGGATGTCTAGAGTTCAACTCTTACAAAGATGCCAATAACACATCATATACTGAAACTGGCCAGAACATGTTAACCGTCCATAAGTATTCACAGCAAGTGAAACCTGGCCGTAGCCAAGAACAGAGGATTCGACGACCGATGAACGCTTTCATGGTGTGGGCCAAATCAGAACGCAAACGTCTGGCCGACGAGAATCCCGACTTGCACAATGCAGACTTAAGTAAGATGTTAGGTAAGTGCATGCTTCATGAGATTTATAAAATGAGTGTTGTAGTAAACTTTTACCAATGATTTTTGAAAAAAGAAATTAAGAATGAATTTAACACATTAAAGCAATTAAAAAATAAAACAACACTGTGTGGATTATCAAAATAAAAAAAATAGTTATTTTATTCAAGAATAAAATATTGTCGATAAACCAATTGAGGGTGAGAAAAATGAGTGTCAAAAATCCGTATATTTTTAAGGTAAGAGAAAATTTAACTCTTACAAACAAAAACATTGTAGAGTTAGGGCAGTTTCAGTGTCTAAGACGTGTGGAAAATATATATATATTGGACGAAAGATAAACTTAATGAAACAAATTCTTACAGCTAACAAAAATGAGGGTTAGATAAATCAATCGAATAAGCTCAGTTTTAATAATGTGGAGACTCAGAAATCAAATCTTACAACTGAAATAAAATAACATTTCTATAAGTTCTCGTGAAACATAGAAAAATTAAGATTTGATTAAATCAAATTGTCTCTTGGTGGGACAGCGGTAAGTTTACTGACTTACCACGCAAAAATCCGAGATTCGGTGGACACAACAGATAGCTGAAGGTGGGTGGCTTTGCACTAAAACAAACAAGTCATTAAATCATATCTAAAGATCGAGGGAAAATTGGGTTGATGAATTAAGTTTTATGATTTGGGAAATGTTGGGGCCAGACAAACCAAGTCTTAAGACTGAGAAAAATTAGGTTTCAATAAACCAACAATTTTAGAAAAACGATCAGATGAAACTCCGATCAACCAAATTAGTTTTCCCATTTTAGATCACCATTATTATATTAAAGGAATCTGGTTGTTTTATGTAATTCATTTTCAGTGTTGTGTTTCAATGTGTAAAAAAGTACTTTTGGGATGAAAGTCATAAGTGTTTAGATAACGTAATAAATATTATAAATATAACTAGCTTGTAATCTACGTTTAAAACTGACTATCAATCTATACAGATTTCGTGAATATATTTCACACATAAACGTAACCATTGCCTATTGGAGAATAGAGCCGAGATTGCCATTCCGGACTGTGTATGAGTTCGATTTTTGATCATTAGTCTGTTCTTGTTTTACTGGCTTTCTGTTCTTTGTGCAAAAGCTGATAATTCATCACTTTATTTGCCAAACAACGCTTGAACGTTAGAAGGGGGCTTGCCTTATATAACCTGATCAGATAAAGATCTGAATACACTTAATCTACTATTTTAAGAACTTCAGACCTGGGTGATCTAGAAAAGAGTTGAGGTGCTGTAGATTCTTTAAATAGATTTGTATATCATCAGATCAATGAAGTTGTATATACTATTCGATCACTGAAAGGAAGAATTATATGCAACTTGTTCTCATCTATTGGTCGTAGTAACTACAATAACAATGAAAACGTACGTTGAAACTTACGACAATTCACTTTAAAAATACTTACAACTAAAGTATACCCAATGATCATTATTATTTTTGTAATATTCGATTAAACAATTTCATCGTTTTTCGATCGAGAGTGGTTAGCGCGCCACACCGTGGATGTGAAGTTCCGTGGTTTGTGTCCCTTTATCGCCAAAAAATAAATGGCACTGTGCACATGAGGGCTGTGAGTGCGTTATAAGAGTGACGGTTAAATTCCACTATTCGGACTGACAAGAGTAGTCGAAGAGTTGGCGGTGGGGGATTATGTCTAGCTTCCTTTTCTCTAGCCCAGTGGTCCCAAACAGACAGCCCTAGGGCCACATCAGGCCATTACTCTAGTCTATCAATTCAAAATAAGGGATGGATAACACAGATAGTCTACGTGTAGCTGTGTGCGACATTTAACAGACAAAGGAATAATTAATTCTTATTATATAGTTAACGAATTATCACATGTTTAAATATGTAACATATATACACATATATGTATAAAGGTTGTATAAAATAGTTTGATTTGTTTGGAATTTCGCGCAAAGCTACGCGAGGATTATCTGCGCTAGCTGTCCCTAATTTAGCACTGAAAGACTAAAGGAAAGGCAGCTAGTCATCACCAACCACCGTCAACTCTTGGGCCTCTCTTTTACCAACGAATAGTGGGATTGATCTCACATTATAATGCCTCTCGGCTGAAAGGGCGAGAATGTTTGGTAGGATGGGGATTCGAACCTGCGACCCGCCGATTGCTAGGCGAACGCTCTAACCACCTGTCCATGCCAAGCCCTGTGTCTAAACTGTAAAATATATGAAACGGCTGGAGAAAGAAAATGCATGAAACTGCTAAGGAACAGACATTACATTACGACAAGTGTGTTCAAAAGCAAAAGCGTGTCTAGTCAGATCTCAGAACAGTTTTAAGGAGGTCGAAGGTTTTAGGATATAGGCAATAGACTATTCAAAATAATACCAATAAAAAGCAGTTTTATTTACCACATTTTAAAATTTCTAGTGTTCGTCTTTTGTTCATGGTTGTACCTGATGTATGGGCATCGAATCATTCACAGATAAAGATTGTGTTATTTATACGATGTCGGAGCTTTAATCAATAGCAGTCTTGTTCTAATTCTAAACGTGTATAAGTTTTATAGTTTTTTAACAAAGACTAATCCAAGATAAAGCTTTGAGTACTTGATATGTCAGTGAGATAGATGCAGCAGTACAGCAGACACAAAGTATTCAAAGCATCTAAAGTTTATTGCCACAGAACTACACATTCGGCAGATTTTGAGACGATCTCCCGTACGTGAGTATCTATGGAATGATGTTTTTAATGGATTGTTCTCACCTCTGTAGAAGCCCTTTATAGCGCAACTTGTGCTACTGTACTGCGGAGGAATTTACTGCTCGCAGTAAGTAATTTAACTGTTAATAAAGTTTGTTAAGATTGTTCTTAACCGGATTTAATAAACAGTTACTAAGTTATCTTGTCCATAAACAAGAACATTCCCCAACACACATATATATATAAGTATAGAATATATTATATATCTTTTGTCTATGAAATATTTTAATGTCACTACCAAAATAAAGAAAAACCTGTGGACAAATTTTGACAAAGATTGCTTTTGACCGACATGGTATTTTTCTAAATCAAAGTAGTTCGGATATATACTTTGTAACTTACTGAAAACACTATGTTAAAATATGGACGCAAACATTAAGGCTTGTATAGCAGTATAAGATCCGAACCATCAACTTAATTAATGTTCTGTTTTACATGATTAATACTTGAAACCATCAATACTTGGTAAAACTCCATAATTACAGAATTGAGGAAAGCAAGTAAATTATATGTTACACAATTATTTAATTTATTACTACCATGGTTTTGTTCGTAAATGTATCGTAAGATATAGCTGTTAACTAGTTATTTCAGTGTTTATCTGACGAAGCCATTAAGGGCGAAACCATGGTAGTAATAAATGCAACATCTGTGAAACTTACAATTGTCTTTGTTTTCCTTTATTCTGATGTATATGGTTTTACAACCTCGTATATAAATATATATATATTCAACAAAAGAGTTTTACCTAACAATCTGAATGATTTATAAAAGTCAAGCTATATTATTAAAAGGACAAATTCAGAGCTGAAGCTGACTTAAACGTATATATATATATACAAAAGTTTATTGTTTACGGGCCAGTTTTACAAACACGTGGGCTTTACAACTTCAGTAGTATGTCACATGACAACTGGAGTTTTTAGTTTGTTTGTTTTGAGTTAGGATTGACGTGTATAAGTTGTTCACGTAGTGCTTGGATTGTCTAATAATTTTGTGAATGTTTAAGGATCAACACATAGAAATGCATAATACCTATTGTGTAAGAATACATAAACTGAGTGCGTTTTATTAAAGTGATGTTTGGAGCCTCAGAGTCCATATTTCCACGTCCGGTTATGCTTGATATGACGAACGTGCCTCTTGACAATAGTCCTAAATCCCAGTTTCCATTGCAAAAGAGTCCATCGTAAGGCTATCATGTTCAAAGCACACCACTCCTCATAGAAAGCTTTTCACAATCCATCTAGTCTACGAGGACAACGATTCCCAAACAACCGTTTCAACAGACCGATCCATAGACGTTGATTAGTATGTCTTCGTATAGAATAGAATGAATATCCGTTTCATTTTCCAGCTACTCGAAGTATACAGCGGTTGAACGGATATTTCGTGGAAACAACTTATGTACATATGACTTTTGTTGCTTTTCCAGACTTAGACTATTTTCGATTATGGTGTGTTTTGTTGACTGTGGCATGTGGAAGGCCTTTGCCATTGATCTTTGTGCTCGTTGATTTTAACAGGAAGCCGCACTTACCACGATTGGGACAAGAATCATTGCAGGTCTCTTTCTGGATGTCTTGATTTCCCAAGTCGATCCATATTCCTTTTTTTTTTGGCAATTTCATGAAGTATAAAAGATATCTCAATATTGGAAATTGTAAATTTACAATCCAAACACACCTTTATGGTATGTGGCTATGAATCTTTTGCTCTTACAAACCAATCCTAAAAGCGATAAATTTTCGTTGGCATCACACTACTTATGTAACGCCAAGCAATGTCAAAATGTAGTTCTGGTACATTCCGTTCCACCATGACCTTGTTACTGCTGTGATTGTCACATAACCTGTTGATTTGCATATCTAAAATCGTTTTAATATAATGTACTCAACCTTGTATAAGTTATTTACAAACTATTATATGTTATTTAAGAACCACTGTCTTATATATTTTTTTAAAAGCTTATACTTCTAATCTATAAGTCAGGAATGTAATATGTATACTTAGAATGCATTTTACAAAGTTAATAAAATAGTATAATACCGTAACTATGTAAATTATTTATTCTGTGCTGCAATCAAACTCAACTACTGCACTTTGTATATATCTATATAAGTTAGCGCATGAGAATGATAGTATTCACAGTGGTGTTCATGTTCTGACTCCTCTTTAAGAAAGAATCTGTTCAATACGTTTTTATTGTGTAATTTCATCTCA